TGTCATTGTCACTAGCAATGATATAGTGTCTGTTCAATAGGAATGCAGATGCGGGGATGGATATGTTACATTTGGTGAGAACTTAATTAGGTTAAAGGTGCCTGGAGCTTTAGTATGTGACAGGATTTTTAAGCATTTGAAACCGTGAAAGAAAATCATGGGCACCGCAGGATGGATACATAGAAAGACAGATCATTTTTTAACAATAGAAAATTAAGAGACCTTTTAGAAAAAAAAAATAGTACTAAATGTTGTAGATTTGCTTTTTATACATGCCTGGAAGAAAATGTAATATCATACTTGAGTCAATAGCCTGAATGCCTTTCAATGGCATCAGCTTCCCTGCAAGAATCTGAGACATGGTATGTCTTTGATGAGATGCAATACAGTCCAAAACATGCACAGCTACTGTAAATGCTATTTAGTGAAAGAAAAAAAGTTTCAAGGGTATATATAGCTAAAATGAAAAAATGTACCTGCACATGTGTTTGCAGAATGTACAGAGATAATTAACAACATTCCAAGAAGTGGTGTTTGTTATAGGATGCATTAGATACAACATTTCACAAAGCTGCACTTGCAGTATAATTTCATAATCAGACACCTTCGCAGAAGTTGGCAGTCCAAGCCCATTCACCTTATTAATTAATGAATTGCACTTTTATGGTAGTTCTGCCAGGCACAATAGGCAGACAAGCAGTTTCATCTGGTATTAAAAAGACACTAAACTCAGGAGTTACATTTTAAAAATGCATTTTAAGTATCCTAACTTTTAACAAAACTGTACCTTATTTGTCCATCACTCAGCTGTAGATCCTACAGTCATCTCTGAACTTGTGCTTACACTGTCCTTCCTTCTGGAGGGTGGCTACGTTTGTTCCCCATGGTCCCTGGGTGTGTTATAAAGTAGCCACCACTCCAAGCTCACTCCTGTGATTAACTACAATTTCAGTACAAATTAGTAAACTAAACATGAGATTGTAGTCCATTTCGGGAGTGAGCTTGGAGCGGTGGCTACTTTACAACACACACAGGGACACACGGGGAACAAAGTAGCCACCCTCCAGAAGCAGCTGAGTGATACACAAATAAGGTACAGTTTTGTAAATAGTGTTATTCTGCAATAAAACCTTTATTTTATCGCTTATCTTGTTTGCCATTTCAAAAAATGCTGGGTTTAACAAATAATTTTTGGCAAATAAATTCTTAATAGTCTGGACCTGGCAGGGGTGTGTCTATTGCCTGAATACATTGTGCTGGAAGGTGACTCTCTTTCTCAGAAAGTTTGGAGGTATGCTTTATCCAGGCTGCAATATGATCACTATAAAAAATGCTAATTTTTACCGAACTGTGCTTACTCATAAATGTTTTTCTAATATCATGTGCATTTTTATGTGCATAGCAATAGTTTGCTATGATATAAATACAGACGTATTATTAGAAACTAAGGATACTGACATTACAGCTCTTTATTCCCGGTATAACAATATTACATTTTCAATAAAATGAGCTAGAACAAGTCTATCGCTAACCCACACCCTGCTCACTTATGCAAACAAGGTAACACATTTTATAAAGTAAATATGTATACTTTACAGTTATTTTGTTAGCTCTACCAGTGCTCTCTATTTAAATGTTGTTAATTAATAAGGAAAACGTAATTATCCTGCAGGATAAGCAAGAGACATAATATTGGCACTTGTAATCCTACATCTAGGGATGCACTGAAATTTCGGCTGTGAAAACATTTTGGCCAAAAATGGTATAATGGGCAAAATGCAGATAGTACAAAAAAATGTGATGCATTCCCAGCTTCTCCCCTCCCCTCCCCGCAGGGCTGCAAGCTTCAGTCTGTGTGAAGTGTTCGGCTCACTTCACTTGGGGTCGGTTGTTCACTCGGCTGCCATTGGCAGCTTAGTGAATAGACCCGTATGTCTCCACTTATGAATGAACAGGAGGTGCTATATAGCACTTCCTTTTCATTTATGAATGGAGACTTAGTTAATATTTACTATATGCTCACTTTATGGAAGAACAGGATGCAGTTCAGTACAGAGGCTTCGTGTCCGTTCATGACTGGGTTGATAGTAAATATTTACTTGCTCCAGATTGTGAATGAACAGGAAGCCCCTGTACTGTGGGTTTCCTGTTCATTGAGTGCTGAGGCTGCAGAAAAAGAGATTGAGGACTCTGTCCTCAATCTCTTTTTCTATTTTAAAAGGGAAATATCAGGGGTCTGTTTAGACCCCTGATATATCCCCAAAGCCCCTAACATTAAAGTAAAAACAAATATATTTTTATTATTTTATTTTTATAATGTATTTATTATTTTTTTATTTTTAAATAATTAAAAAATAATTACCTTTTTTTAAGAGGTTGGAAACAAAAGTAATTTTCGGTTTTGGCTTCTGTCTAACAAATGTTGAAATTTCACTTTTGGTTTCTGTCTAAAAATGTAATTTCGGTGCATGCCTACTACAAACACTGGATTAAGAAGTTGTGGTTTTTACAGCTGGATACTAATAACAGGTCTCGTAGTTCTAACTCTAACCCTACAAAAACTGGAGAATGGTTGAATAGGGATCAGCAGGATTCAGGTTTACATCGACTATGACACAAACTAAAGTAATTTGCAGTTAAACAAAATGGTGCACTAATGTAGTCATTCAAATTTAGAGCAACACATTATGAATGTTGCACTTCCTGGCTTCTTAACTCTGGTTAGGTGGCTTAGAAGGGCCAATCATGTGGTTTTTCATATGTGGCAGCCTCCTTTAGTCAAGGTTTGCAGCAGCATTTTGTGACTAGATGTTGGAGTAGGCATGGAGTAGTTTGGGCATAGTGATGGGCTGAATGTGCCTGGGCTCAGTCTTAAATTATGAACTTTATTGCAAACCCCATTACAGTTAATTGGATGTGAATCTTGAAAATCTCACACTGGGCCAAGCTTCAGTATCTTGCCAGTTGGCCCCGTCGGCTGTCAAAATACCTGAACAATCTGATTGGATGCAGGCATTGTTCAGGTATTTTGAGAACCAGCGGGGCCGACTAGCAGGATACTGAAGCTTGGCCCAGTGGGAGATGCCTCCATCCACACAGTTTAGCATAGATGGAGGAATCTGTTGCACTTTTTTCATCTGACCATAGGCTTATAGAAATAAATCTTTAGAATTTCTATAAGTGTATGGCCAACTTTATAGGTCACTGAAAGCGATGGAATTCTAGTACAGTACATTGCTAACAGCTTAATACTGCCTTCTGATAACAGTCGGCTGTATTAGGTTGCATAAAAAGAAAAGCTGTCCAGCTCCACAGTGCAGCATTGTACCATCAAAATCAAATCACAAAGCACTGAAGCTATAGTGTAAAAGTGCACATAGACAAGGCACTAGCGGTGGTGAGATAAGCAGACATAAGCATATGCTTTGGCTCGACTCGCCGGTACCACGGAGGTACCAAGCAGAATACCCAAGCCGAATGCCAGATGTTGGATCGGCTGAGTCGAAACTCCTTCTGCCCTTCGGGTCGGGCCGAACATGCTGAGCAGGAAGCAAGCCGATGTACGGCTGATTTCAGCTGATGTATGGCCGAAATAAGCTTTACAAGCCTGATGTGAATAGCCGAACAGCGTTCGGCTCACTTCGGTTCGGTTATTCACACGGCTGCCTATAGCCTTTATCATTGCATATTTAATTTCATTATTATTACTGAAAATAATTATCATATAGTGTGGGGGTAAAACACGTTCAGTATGCCACATTCCTTATTGTTTTATTTCACCTTACTGTTCACACGAATATGTTGTGAGCTGTAGATACAGTAATTATTAGCAGGAGTTGTCTGAGACCTAAAAGTTATTTCAAGGGTTAATCTTTGTTAAAAAAGGTTGAGAAAAGCTGTTCTAAGCTCTTTAATTACTATTGACCCTTGTTATATATAATTATGCCTCTTGTTGGCACAAAATAAACCATGCAAATTAATAAACATTTTTCAAAACAATCTGTTTTTTTTTTAAAATGGGAAAATACAGTGTACAGACAGAAAGACAGAACCATCCTTTACTTCAGGTTATTTATATTCATTGGCATATAAAATCACAACTTCTGCCAGATCACTTGTAAACCTCCCACATCAGTTGAGGACATTGGTATGGTATTATTTGTTAGTGAGATCTTCTTTAATGACAGGAAGTGGTTAGCATTCCATAACAGTAATCACTTGCCTAAAAAGAGTGACAGTGAACATAATGCAACACTCGGAACCTGTCCTAAATTGTTGCTACTTGAAGATTGCTTGTATAGGGATTTCAGATAAATCTTAAAGGATCAATCTGTAACCTCATGACACTAAGGTGACAGGACTGAAAACATATTTTCAGAAAAATAATAGTAAACAAATATGTGAATATTATGTTTATGCTGGATACAAATGATGCAGTCAGTTCAGAAATGAGACCGTGATGTGCAACATGGTGAGGCAACCGATCATGGCTTGCCCTGCAGTCAGTGTGCTTACAAGGTGAGGCAACCAATTATAAATCACTTTTTAGCACCTCAGTGTAGCAGGCTAATAAAAGTAGCTTTATTACAAGTTGCCTTGGGTCTCTCAGCACCGCTGCTTAGTTATTAAATAAGGTCAGGCATGTAGGGAAGGTTGCACTTCCATTCTGTATGCATTAAAATTGACAACTTTGGGGTTCAGTATAACTGCTTAGAAGGTGAGAGAAATTGGTGTTTTGATACTGAGAGAATTCATTCATCATTTCTTGTAAATGCTTAACCCCTTAACAAAAGAGGTTATTAAATTGATTCAGACTAGTTTGGGAGTTTGTTAGCTAACATTTGCCTCTGTCAATTATAGAAAAAGCCTAGAAATCTAAGCACCATTTATCACATTGGATACCTCTTAATAGAAACTGTTCATGATGTAGTTTAGTCATTCCTTTTGTGAAATACTTGTAAGATCCTGCAGTCACTGTCATTTCATGTTTATTCTTTTAGATATGGGAACAATACTCGCAGTTATGTGATAAGAGTCGGTGATTATCACACACTTGTCCCAGAGGAATATGAAGAGGATTTGGAAATCCAGCAGATCATTATCCACAGAGACTATAGACCAAATGGAAGTGATTATGATATTGCATTAATAAGACTACATGGAGCTTCAGACCAGTGTGTTCCATTCAGCAGCCACGTATTACCAGCCTGTCTACCTCTGAGGCGAGAAAGGCCACAAAAAACTGCATCAAATTGTTATATTACAGGATGGGGTGACACAGGTATTTATTTATTTTCCTTAAAATATGATATTTGTTTCTTTGAGGGTAACCACAATGGACCATATTCTAAAACATGAATTTGGTTAATACAAGCCAAGAAGACTGTGCACTTTTTGCTTTGAATACAGAAATAAAAGAATAAGTACACTTTTGCAACATACAGTAAGCTCTATATGGAACCCCTTTCCTTCACCACCAAATTTTTCATAGCACTGCTCAAAGTAAAAAAGAAATACTATCAACTCCTTACATGTACATTGTCCCGAGCACTGCATTTAGCTAAAAGAGCATTTGAGAGGCCAGGTGTTGATGTTGGGTGAGGAGACCTGGCTTGACACTGGCATTCTAGGGAAGCCCAGAGTGGTTCAGCAGGATTGTGTTGAGGGCTCTGTGCAGGCCACTCAAGTTCCTCCTCACCAAACACATCAAGCAATGTCTTGATGTAACTGGCTTTATGTACAGGGCATGGTCATGCTATAACAGAAAATGTCCTTCCCAAAACATTTCCACAAAGGTTGAAGCAAACAGTTGCCTAAATTGGCTCTGTATGCTGTAGCACTACCAGTATTCTTCACTGCAATAACATGAACTTAATAATTTGAAGGGGTGCCAACAAACTTTTCGCAATGTAGTTTGGTGTACTGGTCAGATGTCTACAAACGTTTGTCCATATATTGAATATTCCTAATGGATATAAGTCTTTTAGCAGGTGTGCTTACATCAATATTTAAGTACAGTAATACCTCGGTTTACGAGTAACTTGGTTTGCGAGTGTTCCGCAAGACGAGCAAACATTTCTGAAAAAGTTTGCCTCGATATACGAGCGATTGTCTTGCAATACGAGCAGGACGCGACGCTGGACATGACGCCAATCACAGGGATTGTGGGCTTTTTGTACAGTATTATATTACAGTACAGTATTGTAATCATTTTATATGAATATTTTTGGGTTGTGGAACGAATCATCTGAGTTTCCATTATTTCCTATGGGGAAGTTCGCTTTGATATACAAGCGCTTTGGATTACAAGCATGCTTCCGGAACGAATTATGCTCTTAAACCAAGGTATCACTGTATAATGAATATATATTACCTCCATAGCCCAAAAATGATTGCAGATTTGTGGTAATCTGCCATCTTAATGTAGCTGAACTCACCATTTAACCACTTGAAGACCAGGTGTTTACACCTCCTTCCTGGCCAGGCCATTTTTCAGTATTCAGTGCTGTGGTACTTTGACTGACATTTATTCTGTCATGCAATGCTGTACTGAAATTAATTTGATACCATATTTTGGGGAAAGATAGAGCTTTCTTTTGGTGGTATTTAGTCACCACTGGGGTTTCTATTTTTACTATATTAGGGAAAAAATACTGAAAATAGTTTTTTAACATTGTTATAATACATTTATTATAACCGAATTTTTTGGTAAAATATAAGATGGAGTCACGTTGGGTAAATAGACACCAAACATGTCAAGCCTTAAAATTGCGCGCACCCGCAAAATCGCAAAAAACTACCATACCCAAAATTGACCATAGGCGACGCTTTAAAAGCTTGTACCGCTCAACAGTTTAGTATTATCAGTGATTAATGGCCCCGGAATTATTGCTCTCACTCTGACGTTCACGGCAATATGTAACATGTGCAATGTAATGGGTACAATTGCCGTTTTCACACGTATGCGCACTCAACGCATGTTTGCATACGTGTATTATGTATTGTTTTTAAAAATTATTTTTCATGTGTGACTTATATTTAATTTTTTTTGCAACTTTTTTTCCCCTATTTTTTTCCACTTAACTTTATTGTTATCACATAGGGGGCTAAGAAGCCCCCTTATGTGATAGCAAAGAGATGTGACAGGTCATCTTTATGGAGACATCAGGGGTCTCCAGGACCCCTAATGTCACCTAGGGACCCCTAAAGAAGCTGATGAAGCAGAGATTTGCTTCATCAGCTTCTCTCCAGCTTCTGAAGCTGGAGAGTGAGACAAAAATGCGGAAGTGATGTAATATACACCACTTCCATATTCTGACACCAGAGAGGGGACCGGAGGAAGATCGTGTACCAATCTGCCTCTGATCCCCTGTCACAGAGCCCCCATGCTGGTCCCGGGCTCACACCAGTCACAGCGGAGTTCGGGACCAGCGGGAGGGGGGGCCGAGGAGCGGGGAGGTGCACACACTGGCATGTTATACAGCGAGCCGGCGGATCGCTTGTATGTAAACAGGCATCGCTGCCTGTTTTTTCATCCGGGCAGTTTCCGCTCGCGCATGGCACGTGCATCCAGGAAGCTTCCGGCCGGTCGTTTTTTTAAAAGGCTGGCCGTGAGGCGGTTAATAATAAATGTTTTCATTTTAAAGAAAGGATCACTTTGACAAAGTAGCCTTTATATAAAACATTTACATATTTTAGTGTTCTATACTAAATGCTCAATTAAATACCTTTTTTCAAAAATCCACTTTTTGATTCTTTTCATTCAGTTATGTTTTAGAATAATTTAATTCTAAAAAAAAATCAGTATTGGCAAGAGTTAATCTACTCACCAAAGATTTTCTTACCTTGGGGTTTCAGAGTTGAGATGCTTTGGCTGGAATTTCTATGCATTCTACGCACATGATTAGCAACAGTTTCTGCTTCATCCTGAAATTGGTAGTCAGGCTCTATCCCTGAACATTCCATAAAAATGTATAAAGAATAAATTGGCTGAGTTTAGCTGTCAAGTTCAGCATCAGGAATACTCTTTGCTGCAAGATACTGTTTCCCAAAATAGGGTCAGTCTTGTAATCGTTTCACTACCTTTGCCATGTCTATGTTCTACTTGTAATCCTGCTATTTACAATTCAGGTGTGACACTTTGCTACCTATGCTGGTTTTGTGTTATAAATCTATTTTTTTCTTGTGCAATCCATCTAAAAGGGCTGCAGTTTAAATTACTGTTTACCTGCAGTTCTAGGGATCCACAGTCCACGGTGAATATGATTATTGCCTACTAGCTTTCACTAGAAAAAAAAACAAATTCTCAAATAGAAGATATTCTCACACTTATGGCATCTGTCAGGAAATATGGAGATCATAATTATGTGAGCTGCTGTGGTTACATTTAGTTTCCCTTTTATATAAAGAGTCTTGCAATGTACTACAAAGGTTGAACGTGTGTGTCACATCAATAAGCATCCCATGCTTTGGAAAAAAATCTCTCTAACTGAATGACTAAGATTTTTGGAAAAATTAAAGCCATACTCACTACTAGTAGTTGCCCATAAACACATTTAAAGTGTATTGCTCAGAGCCATTGTATTATACTCACACAGAGTTTTCACACTTCCCTGTGCTATGAACCATGCTATGATCTGGGTTTTGCCTCCTGTCCGAGGTGCTCACCTTCCTGCCAATCCTCTTGAACCTCAGTGTTAAATCATAATGCAAAGACTCCTAGTTCCTGAGTTCCCTGTGACCTGCATCCCAGGCTTCACTCCAGCTCGCTTCTCCAACCAGTTCCGTAAGCCACAGAGCCTTCCTTTCCTGGTGCCCTGGTTCCCAGACCGTGACAACAGTGCATACACTTTCACTATCAAATTCTTGAAAAAGAAAAAAATGAAATGAAAAAACCCAAAATGATGCAATATAATCAAGCATTGTACAGATTGTACTAAGGCTATGAGTATAGCAATCTGACCAGCTCACCCTTAATTAGCTTGTTCCAAGGCTTCCTTAGGGTGCATAATTCATGTGCTCTTGCACATCAGGAATCAATATTTTTCAAAAAGATAATCCTCTTCAATGTAGCATAAAAAGCCAAACTGTTTTTCATTGATTAGAAGAAAAAAACGTGTGTAGTAATACCCCAGTACAGCCAATAACATGTTTCAAACTGTACCAGGTCTTTCTCAATTCCCATATGTCTATGAGGCCTGCTTGGTTCTCCAGTCATTTACTTATTTTTCGCTACACATTTGCCATCCAGCTTGTTAGCCAGATCAGGTTGCCACTGATTTAATTTACTGCTAACATAATTTTCCCATTCCTTAGTAGTAAATTCAGATCCTAATGACATTTACTATATCTCTAATGTTACAGGCCCATTCCAGTCTTCTTTTTGACATTCCACTGGTCCCTTCGCCAGATCATACTCACCTACTCACACACAAGGAATTTTGGTAGTTGCGCTCCTGATCTTTTGTTTCTTTTTGACAATGACCAGTCAAAAAGGGCATTTTTTTGAGAATTTACTGCCCTTTCCTGAAGGCACATATTTGTCACATCCTTTGCCACACATTTAACAGGCTTAAAATCATCATTTGTGTTTGAAAGCATTTTTCTCTGCTCGCACCATAGAGATTGTTAATAGTTTTCCCAAATTTTACATAAAATGGATAGTAAATCTAGCTTAAAACAATAACTGACTGGTTACTTTTAAGTTTAATACATAAGTAACAGATTTAATATTAATGTAATAACTTGGGGTCTTGATATCAACTTATCAATGTACTTTACATTAATTCTGTAAAAAAATGCAGTCTTCAATGCTAAGTCCCTGAAAATACATTAACTACCATAAAATCTCTTAGGACGTAGAGCTGTCAATCATAGTTGTGTTTCTTGAAGTCATGCCCATTATGGAAGTTCATCAGTCACTGGCAGTTCTGTTCTGCCAAATGTTTCTCTAGACTCTCCTCTCTGACCTCCTGCAGGGGCTCCGATCCATAAAATACAAACAGTACTAGACATGCCAGCCAACTTTTTGTTTGTAAAATAATTGAAATTGAAATGCTGTCACTCCAAAATGCGCATCGTAATTTGTATGCTTTCAATGTATTTGTTTTTAGGCCGAGCATATTCAAGGACTTTGCAACAAGCTTCTGTGACTTTATTACCCAAGCGGATTTGTGAAGATCGATACAAGGGTCGCTTTACAGGGAGGATGCTTTGTGCAGGAAGTCCTCCTGAACAGAAACACGTGGATAGTTGTCAAGGAGACAGTGGTGGTCCTTTGGTGTGTGAACGAACTAGAGGCAGCTGGGTAGTATATGGAGTGACCTCTTGGGGATATGGCTGTGGCGTTAAAGACTCTCCTGGAGTATATACAAAAGTGTCTGCTTTAATACCATGGATAAAAAGTTTGACCAATTTGTAAAGATCATAAAAGCCCAAATCTTTTAATCCTACTCAGACCAAACTGTCATGGATTTCACATTGACAGCAAGGCACATCAGAGCTAGTATATTATTGTGATTTCACCTCTAGACTACTAGCTTATGCTTTAAAATGTACAGTTTAATTCCTTATCAGTAAGGAGGATGTCATGTTGTACTACAGTGTGGAACTGGTATTTCCTCTTTGTAGCTGCTGTTGAAAAAAAATAAAAATGACAAAAGGTCAACCTTTATTCTAGATTGGAGTAGACCACTTTTTCAGACAATAAGATTTAGTGGACAGCAAGTAGAGAGGAGACCGTAAAATAAAATTTAATTTCTGTGAGTGTCCACTACATTGGTTGTGAAGGATTAGAAGCAAATGCTCCTGAATAATGAAAAAATTGATGAATCAAATATATCAAAATGTTATTATGCAGAATATAAAGCCCCTTTTCATCCAGGCCATTCAGAAAACATACAGCCCCAGGCTTCATTTTGTCAATAGCCAGAAGGAGAGGAGACATGATCATAGCGCTGGGGTTTATGAGACTTGCTGCTTTTAAGTTCGAGCAGGCCTGGAGTTGTACTTCCTTTAGTATGTAAACAAGAAGATTTGATTAATGTGGAATAAAGCAAGATGGGGTGTGACTTTTTAGGGAACAAAATGTATACCTGTTTGAAGTCTGGTAATTCAGCTTTAAGGCTGTACTTGAAGCTTAGATTGTGCAGTTGACAATCAGCCAAATTACTGACACAAGTTCTGAAAGCCACATATCAGAGATAATTAAATGAAACCAACAAATAGCAGTTTGCTTAGGTAATATTGGGCTTTTCCTAGTCCCCCTATTTGCAGTGTGCCTCTTCAAATCAATACACTCATCTCAACTACATTATCAAAAACTATTCAAGTCAACAAGAACAATTGTGTCTGTGAGACAATTATTGTTCAGTTCAAGAACATAAAATTCCTTGGATAGCTTTACCCATGAGGCTAAAAAAGTTAGAAGTCTTCCATATTACTTAGTTTAAATGTAATATACTAGACCTCAAAATTACTAAGTTGTGCAGCAGGTAGTAGGCACCACAATGTGCCAGATCTTAGTAATAGTATTACAATAACCATCTTCACTGTTATGTCAGAGCTCTTAACTCCCAGGTAATTGGGGAGAATAGGCATGCCTTCTCCCTCCCCATGTGACAGCTCTTAGTGCTTGACCAACCTATTGCAAGGCCTAAGCACTGTCACTTGGGAAAAGGGAGGTACAGAACCTAAAGCAAATAGTGACTTTCAGGACCCAACACTACAAAGAAGAGGACTATCATAATTCTAAATATAAAGTCTGACACTTTATGATACCTACCATTTGCAATATAGTTTAGCTTAGCCATCTTATAGCTATTATAGGTACAATGAGGTACTTATTTATAAACAATTCACAGGGCCGCACACCCTGCTAATCGCTGAGAACTTTCTCGCTGTGTCAATATAAACAAAAGCAAACATTCTTAATGTATGTTCCTTTCAGGTTCAATGTAACATAGTTTAGTACTGCATTATGGAAACTAGATAGAGCTCAGGCTTTGAAAGAAGAAAGATGTATTTTCTATTATCCTGCACTTTATCTAGTGACCATAATGTGGTATTACATTACTTTTTCAAATCTGTGAGGCTGCATTTAATACAGAGGCCATATACGAAAGACTCTCTAACTTTAAAGTGACACTAAACGCAGGAGTTACATTTTAAAAATGCGTTTAAGTACCTTAACTATTAACAAAAATGTATCTCATTTGTGAATCACTCAGTTGTAAATCTGCAAATATTCTCTGAATTGATGCTGACACTGTCCTTCCTTCTGGAGGGTGGCTACTTTTGTTTTCCATGGTCCTTGTGTGTCTTGTAAAGTAGCCACCACTCAAAGCTTGCTACCGTGATGGACGACAATCTCATGTTATTAATTTGTATTGGGATTGTAATCCATCACAGGAGCGAGCTTGGAGTGGTGGCTACTTTGCATGACACACAGGGACTATGGGGAACAAAAGTAGCTACCCTCCAGAAGAAAGGACAGTGTCATCATGAAATGATAATAGTTAGGGTTCCTTGAATGCTTTTTTAAGATCTAACTCTGGAGTTTAGTGTCACTTTAAATTCAATAAACTAACATTTGTTTTTGTCTCAGGCATTCTCAGAGATTTGCAGGTTGATTGGCTCTGCAAATTGTACATAAAATACCCTTTAATCTAAAGTTTTTTTCATTTTACACATTGCAATATTTAAAAGATTTATGTTAAGTAATCATTCAGCAGAGGCGCCCTATTAACTTTCAGAATAAAAGAACAAATGTGGTGGAAGAAATATGCAGGTTGATGTTGCTGACTTCCTTCTACTGCGTTGCCTGACTATATCTCAGTGGATGTTACCTTTAAGAACCCGGCTAGCATTATTTTATTACGTGTATAGACAAGGCTGTCAATTTAGTAATATCTTGATAATAAAGTCACTTACAGAATGTATATTGTTGCTGAAGAGTTGTTTATAGGCCATGAGTACCCAAGATTTTTATTTTTATTAGTTCAGTGACCCATGTTGCAGTCTGTATTAATCAACCTGTGTTACACTTACCACACAATCTCATTGTACAATCTTCTTTAGAGCTACCAACAACTAGATAGCGTACGTTCCTATCTCATTGCATACAAACTGATTGTGTATATTTGGTAGTACTTTATATTACATAGTTTTGGTACATCTAAAATTGATTGTACAAAGATTGTATGGTCACATTTTAACTTGAATGGTGGCCTTTAATTTATGTATTTACGTCTTTTGTTACCTTATCATAAGTGAAATATATATCAGTTAACATATAAAGACTAGCCGTTACTAAATTACCACAACAGTAACTTTTAAAACATATGTAAAAAGCCTAAAAATTAGTGCCCTATATAAAAGAGGTTTTCATGTGCCCCTTGCCTACCTAATGTCAGATACAAATTGATTATATTAAGCTGAATGTCTCAGTACACAGAGGCACTTGGTGAAATGTTGACTTTGCATCACGACACACCATATCAAAATATGCATTGGCTGCAGTCTGGTTCATTTGTATGCCTCTTTTTGTCCAGGGCAAATTCAGACATTTTTTTACAGGTGCCAGAACCTGTACCAATTAATTTACTTTCAGATCGGTCACTTAACAGTTTCCTACTGTACATATCCTTTGCAAATTGCGTAGGGGGATCTCTGCAGTTGTCTCAGCCTACATAGCAATAATATCAGTCTCTTGAGCAAAATATTAGATTTTACCCTGTTCATGGGAAGAGACCAAGCAGGTACCCATAAGGTGCTGGTATACCTACAGTAGGTACAAGTCTATATGTCTAATGATAGTTTAAAGAGACAATTCCTGTGAAACATTTACCCATGTCTACAGATTGTAAGCATTTTATTATGTACCTAGTACACTTTTTTGTATTTTAATATTTGTGTATTGTTTTTTTTTTATGTCACCAACACCATTATTCCCATAGTGGTTACAATGCAGTATATTGGCTTTCTTTCACCTCTCATAATCAGTAGATTGATCTCTTTTTGGCTCATAAATAAAAGTGCTTAAAATATAGTGCACTTTATTTCAAGCACTCGCACTAAGCACTTTTATACACAACACCCCTGATGAAGCCTCTAAACTTATGGTGAAGCATGTTGGATATACTTTAGAGCACAATCCTTTGGTGGGAGCCGTGCATAATATGGTTCATAGAAATTAAGAAAGATAGAACAGAGAAGAAATTAGACAGAGAAATATAAAAGATGATCCAGTATGAGAGTATGAGAGTATCAATCTATGAGAGATCAATCTACTGAATTCGAGAGCTGAAAGAAAACTACTATACTGCATGGCAACCATGGTGTTGATAATGTAAAAAAAAAATCTAGAAAAAGAATGTTAAATATTAAAATATACAAAAAAAATTGTTTGGTACATATGAAATAAAAAAAACAAAAACGTGGAAGTGGGTAAATGTTTGACATTGATATTGTCTCTTTAAACTATAAGCAAGAGTTTCCAATGAAATTACAATCGTAAGAAAATATAGGGATTGTGTATATATTTACTATATGTCTAATTAGAAGACTGTCACTGTTGGCTCTGCAAACCATGTATATTGCCTTTTCTCTTTTTTATCTTGGAAACGAATTGTGTTTGTTAATGTAACCTGGTGTCTCTGCACTAGCTGCAGCACGGTACTACAGAATGTTTAATGTCATTTTCAAATACCACATTGCTTAAAGCATTGAAACACTTTCATGAGCAGCCTGCATTGAAAGGTGAATGCTTAATCATTACTGTGGTTCACTAGGCAGTGCCAGAGCTACAAATGTATATTTAGAAATACACAGCAGGATCTTTCCTCAATTTTTTGATGGCCCCTTTTTTGTTACTTCATATTTTAAAGTAACATTTTATGCAAAACAAATTCAGCACAACGAAGCTTCACATTAGCATTTGGATAGATACATATACATCTGTGCTCTTTAGATTACATTTAAGCTTCACACTTCTTACCTAACAAAATATAATTTGGAACCAGTCAAGAAAATCTTCTTATTTTATTTCTGATCTTATTCCGAACAGTCCAGAGATGAAAACTCCAGCAGTGAACATAGATCAATGTGGAGTACTGTACCCTCAACAAACATATAAGGCATATTTTACTTTACAACATCCCTGCCTCCAACATCTGCCTTCAAACTGGGTACATTAAGCTGCAGATATCAGTGAACATCTATAATTTCAAATGTTTATGTTAAAATATAACAGAAATGAAAGGAAACACATAAACTGCCAGAGTCTTTTATTTTAATCCAGTTGTTACTCGTCAGGTACACAGACACTGAAATGCAATTTCTGTAAACCATTGTAATTTTTACTTGTAGCAATGACTATTTATACAAATAGTCATTTGTATAAAGTGATACACCGTAATTGGGGCAAGCAAGATTGTCCAAGCACAAACATGTCTTTTGTCATATGGTTGTAGGCCGGATTTTAAAGTAGACCTGAACTCAAAAAGTGAAGATATGCT